TGCGGGGCAGGCGGGGCCGCGGGGGCCAGCATGGAGCTGTCGGTCAGGACGTGCAGCTGCCCGGCAGCTGCCCAGCCCCACGCAGGCCGGCCCCCTCGTGGGGCGGCACTACAGCAGGGCCCCCCCCGCCGCCCCGCTCACCCACGGCGTGGCCCTTGCCGTCTGTGAAGTAGCGGGCGTGGAAGCGGCGAGCGCGGGCGCCCACCGCGGCGCGCAGCGCGTCGCCCGCCGCCGCGCGCGGCGCCGCCGCCGCCTCGCCCGCGTCCTTGTCGGCGGCGCGCGACGCGGGCCTGCCGCCGCCGCTGAGCCGCCGCCCGACGCGCGCGGCCAGCCCGGCGGCGCCACCGCTGCTCTCCTGGGCGGCGCCGCCCGCGGCCGCCGCGTCCGCCGCCGCCGCCGCCGCCGCGGGCGGGGTGGCTGCCAGCTGGTCGATGGCGTGGACCACGCCTTCCTTGAGGAAGTACTGATGGTACACGTCCGGCAGCTTCTCGATCAGTATCTCCGCCATCTGCAGTACCACCACGCAGCGCCCCGCACCCGGTGAGGCAACGCACAGCGGGGCGCGCAACAGGCTGGCGACACACGGGTGCAGCCACGCAACCGCCACCCCACCCCAGCCACCGCAGCGCAGCCGTGCAGCCGCCCAGCTCGGCGCGCGCGCAGGCCCGTCCCGCCAGGAGCCTCCCCGAACCTGCCGCCGCCCCGCCGCCCACCTGCATGCCGTAGGCGGCGACTGTGGAGTCTCGCGCGCCCAGCAGCGCCGCCACCAGCGCCGCGGCGGGCAGCTCCTCCAGCAGCGCGGCCAGCGTGTGGGCTGTGTTGAAGTGCAGCATCTTGGCGATGGTGGTGAGGCACTGGCGCTTGACCTGGGGGGTCACGGAGGAGGAGTAGACCTGCGGGACGGGCGGCCCAGGCGGTACAGGCAGGACGGGCAGGCAGCGGAGGCGGGGCATGAGCGGGCGAGACGGTACCGTGAGGGGAGTAGACGGTACCGGCACTGGATGGGTCCACCCATGCCTGTGCCATCCAGCAGGGCAGGGCTTGGGACCTCCGTGGCGGCCAGCAGCCAGACGCGGCTTCGCCCCAGCCCCGCCCGCTTGTGCCGCCCCCGGCCCACACCACCCGCCAGCCCACACCGCCCGCCAGCCCAGCCCACCCGCCGCGCCGCCCACCTGGATCATGAGCGGCAGCAGGTCGGCGCTGAACTTCTGCAGCAGCGCCGGGTGGTCGTGCACAAAGCGGGTGCGCTGGCAGACCTCCTCCGACTCCTCGCCGCCCGCCTGCTTGGCGCCTGCGCACAGGCAGGCGGGGGAAGGGCGCTTGAGACAGGGGTGCACAGCCAGGGCGCACTCAAGCAAGCAAGCAGGCGGGCAGGCAGGCAGGCAAGCAAGCAGGCATTCACGCAGGCAGGCAGGCAAGCAGACAGGCAGGCGGGCAGGCAGGCAGGCAGGCAGGCAAGCAAGCCGCAAGCAAGCAAGCTAGCAGGCAGGCAAGCAGGCAGCCATGCATGCAGGCAGGCAGGCAGGAGTGAGTGTTGAGTAGAGCGGTGCAGCTAGTAGCGGCGCGGCGCCGCCCAGCGCACCTGCCGCGGCGGCCGAGGTGGACGGCGGCGCGTCCTGCCGCGCCATGGCCGCCGCCGGCTCGGGAATGGGCGGCAGCAGCGCGGCCGCCAGCGCCACCAGGTCGCCCAGCTGGTCGGTGGAGCGCAGCACGTTGGCGGGGGAGACGGCGGTGGTGGAGAGCAGGGAGGAGGTGGCCAGCAGGTTGCGCAGCGTAGACGACACGCCCGCCTGCGCCAGCACGGCACAGCGCAGCACAGCGCAGCGCAGCACAGGCAGCGGTGGGGCGGGGTACAGAGCAGCCATGGCGGCGACCGCTGGTCGGCGCGGGGCGCGGCGCGGCGCCGCCACGCCTCCAGACAGGCATGCATTGGTGGCTGGGGGTGGGGTGGGGTGCGTGCCAGCCAGCCAGCCCGACCGCCGCTGCATCACAACCCCCTGCCGCTGCACACCAAGCCCCCTCTGCCCCGGCTCCCCACCCCACCTCCATGAGCGCCTCTGCCACGACGTGCGACCCCGCCGCCATGGTGGCCAGTATCTTGAGCAGGCCGTAGAAGGTGGGCACCTGCAGCTGGCTGGTCATGCCGCCGCTCTCGCTCACCCCCACCATCTGTACGATGCTGCCCACCAGGCCCAGCGCGCACAGCGCCTCCAGGTGGCGCGGCGAGCGGGAGAAGGCCTGGGCGATGCGCGTCAGCGCCAGGCACGCGCTGTCAACAATCTTGGCATCCTGCGGCGGAGGCAGGGAGGGAGGAAAGGAGGGCGTGTGGTGGGGTGGCGGCAGAGAGGGCCTGGCTGGCCGAGGGCTGGGTGGGGGGCATTGGCAGTGCCGCCAATTCCCAGGGCTGCCTCCCTGCAGCTGAGGGAGGCAGTCCCTGGGAGGAAGGCGGCTCCGCTGAGTGCAGGTCCCGCCGGAGAGCCGCCAGCACCGCCGCCACCGCCGCCACCTGGCCCGCACCTGGTACTGCAGCAGGTTGATGAGGATGGGGGCGGCCGCGGTGGCGGCCTCCGCGTGCGCGCCGCTCAGGCCGCGGCACATGTTGGCGGCGGTGGCCACCGCCACGCGCTGCACCCCAGTCTGGAAGAAGTCGACATAGGAGAGCACCGCCACCAGCGCGCCCGCCTCCAGCAGCCGCGCCGGGTGCTCGTGGCTCAGCTTCTCCAGCGCCTGAGGGGCGGGGGCGGGGCGGGGCGGGGCGGGGCGAGGAGGAGCGGCGGGGGATGAGGCACGACCCGCAGATGTGCTGTACTGCAGTACATGCAGGCTCCCGAGGGCCCTCGTCTGCTCTCCCTCGCCCCTTCAGCAGCCACACTTCCCTCCTCCCTGCCCATCCTGCAGCTCCTCCCTCCTGCACCACGCAGCACGCCTGCTCTGCCACCACACCCGCATCCCCACACCACCCACCCCCACCCACACCACACCCACACCACCTACCCGCATTTCCACACC